ATGAGCCATGATCCTTGGATCGCCCTTCGGGCTTGTTCTGCAATAGTTCTTTCTTTTGATTTTTTTGTATATCAGATTGGAAATCCATAACTATAATTTCTATAAACTGGATAAGAAATTCCTTTTTTTTTTAATACCCAACCCATATATTCTGCAACTGCTTGCTTTTCCTCCCTAACCTCCATGTGCGTCTCAATACCACGAACCACATAACTGCGATAATCAACAAGGTAAGAAAAATATATGCCGATATAGCGGTGACATCAACGTGCTTGTCATAACAGGGATCGCTCCTATTCCTCTTATCGGAAGAGGCAAAGCCTCGGGACCAGGTCTCATCTGAGAATTCGATTCAATCAAAGAGGACATATGTGCTTTAGCACTAGCTCCGCTATTATTATCCGGTTGTATAAGGTGCGGAGTCACATTTTGAGGCATAGCCTCTGATGCATTGGGTTTTATCGATATATCTAGTACATCATCCTTGTTAATTTCACTAATGCTAGTTCCATCCTTTACCTTGGGGTTAACCTCTGTATCATTTTTTGGTAGTTAGGTAATCTCATTATGCCTCTTTGAGGCGCCTAAAGGCCTGGTATATGTCGATATATTACCGTTACCATCGATTTTTTCTATTGGATCCATATTTTTTCCACATATAAAATATTTACTGAGATCAGTACTACCCAAAGATATATTATCAGACTTAGTAATATTTTTTATTGTGGGAACAATGAGGCTTTGCCCCTCGTCATTCCCACCAACTATGGGTTTCGATATAGCCTCCGATTTCAGACACTCAAGCTCATTGACCTTCGATTTTAATTCGCTCTTTATATTTTCTAATCCAGCTATTTTAGATTTGAGAGATAAATTCTCAGATTCGTTTTTCGATAAGTCATTTTGAATCGAAATCACATCTTTCTGGGCCGAAGACAACTTACCTTCCAATATCTTGATCATAGACTCGAGTGATTTGATTTTCTTGGATTTTGTAATATTCTCAGCCTTAGATTCAGCAAGAGAAAGATCTTTACGAATATTCTCGGAGGTGAGATTATTATTTTCAATTTTCAACCGCTTAGTCTCACCAATAAGTTCTAAAGTGTGGGTATGTAACTTCTGTTTATCACTAGTAACATTACTAAATGCGCTTTCCCATTGCTTTCTTTCTCGATTCCACCCCTTTCTCTCCTGATCAAAATCTTTCACTTGCTTAGAATATTTATCTTGTAATTTCTCGCTAAGGTCATTAACTTCGGTCTTAGATTCGAGAGCGGTATATAACTTTTTTTCTAGCTCTTGCTCACGCATACCACCAAGTCGATAGCCTTTATTGATATCTCGTAGTGTACGTACATTGGTCATATTAATAATAAATACTTTATTAAAAAAACATCTTTCGAAAAATCTATAGGTATTGATACTTATAGATATGACAATAGTAATACGTATCAGTAAGTACTGACATTACATCAATGAGTATTAATTTTATATCAATAAGTATTGTACTATACCAATACATATCAATAAGATTCAATAAATATTGAAAAAATATCGATGTTTTTTTTTTCCTAAATTATATATTAACATAAAAATGGTTACTCGCCTTCATCAAACCTTCTATCGATCCAATGCAACCCGATTATCAGAGTCTGATATTAAGGAAATCAGAGATTCGAGAGGAAAAATACCAAATGCATCAAAGAAAATGGCAGAAAAATTTCATATTGGTGCTCGTCGTGTATATGAAATATGGGAGTATACTGAATAATAACTATCGCGAGGAACTTTTATTCACAACGAGGCGCTCGCTAAAGCCCAGTTTAAGCTGTTTTTATCTATCTACTTACATGTAGAGGAAGAGAATAAAAGCCCATATTGAGGCTGTATTGTATTTAGGAGGAGGGGGGATATATCTATTTCTAGATATATTAATGAATGATTGTATTTTGTTGGGGGGTAAGTGGATCTATATGTATGTCTATGGAGCGGAGATAGAGTAGACGTCCTAGCAGTAAGTTAGTGATGTCCAAGTGGGAAGGAGTGGGGTTATGTCCAAAAGCCCTTGAAGTAAAGTTACAGTAAATTCAGTCATATTTGCTATAATAATAACAAGATCTAAGATTATTATTATCTATAAATGTGCTACTAAAAGCAAAACCTTTCCAAAACATCATTAGTTACTTAACATTAATTAATCTTTCAGCCACATCAGACTCATTTATAATAGAATGTTCACGTTGTCTGTTTTGTTGCAGTCTGCCCCCGCAAGTGCGTCACAAAACGGCACGTGCCTGTCTCATGATATTTAAATTGTCCAGTAAGTCGAAACATCATAAACAGCCTAGAGCAGATCGCCGTTCGACCATTGTATATACGCTCTGCTGTTGGTAATGCGTTCCCGTCTCTAGGCGAATAAATGACAGCATTGCAGCGGGCGACCCTGAGTTTTGGCCGGCTGTCTAAGCAGTGAAAGCCGTAGTTTCAACACCAAGACTTGCCTATGACGTTTTGCTTTTATATTTTGCATCGATATATGTACCTTTCTAACTGCAATTATTACATTTTGTACAAGTGCTCGCGATATAAGAAAGTGATCGGGACCCATAGTAAAAATCTTAGAATCTTTCTTATACCGAGAGTTTATTAGTAACTTTCTTATATAGAGATAGTTTCATATAGACTATTTTTTAAATCAACTTTCTTATATCAAATTTAATTAGTGTTTCTTATATCGAGAGCTTCTTATATCGAGTTTCACATGTACATGCTATGTGGGAATGCAGACATAAAATTTTTGGTACAATTAAATGAGAGAAAGTAAGTATCAGTATGGATACTGATACTAATACTGCCAATCTTCCTGCTTAGTAATTTATAAATTATTTTGCATTTATTATTTTTACTTTATCATTATACTAATACAGATCTCATACATATTTTTGCACCACATCTAAAATGTGTAAAATCGCAATACTTGGCTCTATCAACATCTCCAACAATACTTCTTACTTGCTCAATATATTCTCTACTAACTAAGTAATCAATTCGTAATATTCTTAGTGTGTTACTAAGATGGTCCACTATTACATCAAGATGCTTGTCAGTAACAGTAACATAATACATTATTAATGTCCTAAGAGGTGGCTTTGAGTTTGACAAGAAATTCTCTAAAGAACTGACTTTGACTTCTCCATTAGTATATAACTCTAAATAGTCTAAATTTGGAAGCTGATACTTAGCAAGAGCATCAAAAATAGTAGAGCTTTTTTGAGATTGTATTACAAGTGAATGTAGATTTGGCAAACTGGCAATTAGATGTGCATTTGACAACAAGACATTCCCAGATACAGAAATACACAAATGTCTGAGATTATTACATGTCTCCAACATGCCTCTAAAATTTCTGTCTGTTAGCTTTTGCAAATAAACATCTAAATCAACCAAGAATTTTCCATGTTTATGTAATATCTGCCCCAAAACTCTACTTGGTATAGAACAATTTCCAATTGAAAGTTGTTGCAAACATGGAAAGTTTGCCATGACAATTGATTCTACTCCACTGGCTGTCTGCATGTTACAGAATTTCATTCTAATACTCTTCAATTGAAAAAGTGTAATAGTAACTGTTTCAAAGTTTAAATGATCTAAATCAAAGTTCACATATGTCCAATTGATAGATTCAAGGCAATTTGCTTGTGTCTTTAACAGTTCTAACATTGATACCATACTTGTCTGTAGACTGCATATTGTAATTGCCTTTAATCGATTTTGAGACTGGATGAGTTTTTGCAAACCAACACTTGATTGTTTTTCAAAGTAAAATTTTTCCATGCTCTCAAAAGAAACTGATATTGATTCTAGATTATATGCAAGGATTGAAAGAGTTTTAAAAATTTCTTCACATAGTTTTCCTTTCCAAATAAAACACCTCAACTGAGGTAGACTCTTCGCAGAGGAAAGGTATTTCATGTGTTGGCAGTGTAGCCCATTCCATGCAGTGTTGGTAATTGCATGCATAAAGTAATCTCCAAGTGCATTATATAAAGTTTTTGGGCTATGAATTTGACTACACTGATCCCACGATATAAGAGCAAGAGTTCTTAGTTGCTGGCAATATTGAACAGCTAAAGCAACTATTCTGTTTGATATATCTTCAATTGATATTACCATCGGTGGGTTACGCCATATCGAAACAAGATATCGAATTTCCCACAAACAGATCTCTTTTAAATGTAAACCATAATCAAAGGGTAACTTTTTACTATATTCTTTCTTCAAGTTGTCAAAGTCCTCTACAATCAGTTCTACATCGGTAAAAGTAAAACACTCAATAAAGGTAGTAAGAAGATTGCTGATTTTGTGCATAGATGTTTCACGCCTAGTGTACAGCAAGGTGAAAGGCTTTGCCCAAAGATACTGAATGGCAACACTATACCAGTTCTTGTTGACTTGAATACATGCGTGAAGCAGTGCGGGGTCATCTTGATATGCAGCCAGAATCTTTGCAAGAAGCTCATAAGGCAAATCAACAGGCATTTGAACAGTGTATATAGCATGGAGAGCAAAGACTACTGCGTCTCGCAAATGATTTCGAACATCGTAACATTTTCATTTTGATTGGTTGACAAGTTATTAGCTTCGACCACATTAGTTTGACATGATTAATTAGCATTTTAATAGCAAGTGCTGATAAAATGTGGACCAAGTAGTCTGCGCAGGACAGTGTCAGCAGTATACTTGATCCACATTTTATCTGTCATCGTATCTCATTGAGAATTTGATAACACTTTGAGATAGTAGTTGGTTGGACATCTACAGTTATGAGTCTATGCATTTTGCTGATCACACTATAATAGTAGTAACGCAACATTGTCATATTCGCAAAATACGCAACGTTCTTGTTGATATACAGGAGAAAGAACAAGAAATTTGACATTCAGCTGGTCATCTTATTTATATTAATAGATATATGTTCGATCGATTCAGTTTCCCTCCTTTCGCTCTAATGACTAAAATATTAATTGTCAAAAGGGCTAGATTTTAATATAATATGAGCGCTAGGAACGGAAACTTTACACAGACGTATTCACTAAACTAAAAGTATCTAATTATCCGTACTTTGCAGACTTACTATAACCAAATATTGCTAAGCGTGTATTTTATGCAAGCCGGCCACGAAAGAGTACAAGAATAGACTATTGAGCTTTACAAAGACAATCGCGACGAGCAACAGTGAATTGTTCAAACAGAGAATGCGGTTCTGAATACATGTTGCTTACATCATTCAGCCCAGTGTTCTTGGTTAGCAGACGACAGGCAGCTTTTTACGAGCTTATCTACACTCAATTAAACTGAATGTCCAAATTTACTAGCTAATTAAACATTGTACAGACAGAAAGAAATCGGTTTTTATATTTTGTGACGCCTCGTACATATTTCTGCATTACACCTAAGATGTCTCGTATTACGAATACTATACTGGGAAAAATTGCCCACGACGCTCTTTACCCGTTTCTCATCATCCAAGCTAATATCATATTCCGCTCTCAAGACTTTTAGTGTGCCGCTGAGATGATCGAGTATCACGTTAAAGTGTTTCTCAGTAATATAAGTATCACAGATTATTAATGATGTAAGAGGAGGCTTTGATTTTGATAAAAAGTTATCTAACGAATCTACATCGAATTCTCGAGTACTGTATAGTTCTAAATAGTCCAAATTTGAAAACCGATACTCTGAAAGAGTGTTAAACAGAGTAGTATAGTTATCCTCCCTCCCCGAACCTGTCTGATATCGCAACGTAAGAGAATGTAAATTTGGTTGATTCGCCACCAGATCCGCGACGTTACGTAACGCTCTATTGCTGGGTACACTTACACACAGATGTCGGAGATTGACACACAATCTCGAAATAACCATAAAACTTTCATCTGCCAGCAGCCTTTGTGAAGAAATGTCTATATCAATCAACGCCTTTCCATGCTTATGAAAAAATTGCTCCCAGTCCACGTCCGGTATATTGCAATTTCCAATAACAAGTTGCTGCAGGCGAGGTATATTTGCCACAGACAGAGAATTTAGCCCGCCTTCTGTTACGTCACAGCATCTCATGCTGATACTCTTTAGCTGACAAAGTTCGATCTGTTCGGCGCTCAAATCGTCCGTATCAAAACACACATATACCCATTGAATCGATTCAAGGGATTCCGAATGAACATTCAACAGTTTCAACATTGAACTCATGTTCGTGAGAAGACGTTCTATCGTGATTGATTTTAACCGCCTTTGAGATTGAACGAATTTCTGGAAATTATCCGTTTCTTTGTAATAATAGAGTTTCATGTTATAAAAATTAAATGATACTTCTTCTAAATTACATGCTAATTCTGAGAGTATGGAGAAAATCTTCATATAGGATGTTCCTTTCCAAGAAAAAACTCTCAGTTGCGAGAGATCTTTTGCAGAATCAAAAAGCTGGCCGAGTAGATGGTAAGATGGTGCATTCAATGGTATTAAAGAAAGTTTTCTTAATTGCTGACAGTGTTGGATGACCAGACCCACAATTATGTGTGCCAACTTGTTTGTCCTATCTCCCGTGACATGCGAGTATTTATGATATTCCAGACTTAAATCAATCCATAATGCCACCAATTCCTGAATTTCCTTCAAGTAGATTTCCTTCAAGTGTAAATTGTAATTAGTTGATTGTGAACTTTTGCTGCACATTTTTACCAAAGAATCGACTCGTTCATTGACGAGTTGTGCATCCGTAAAGCTCCGGATGAATGTGGTAAGAAGGTTCTCTGCTCTCTGCTTGAACGTTCTTCGCCTTCCGGACGCTATGTATTTTTCATAGAGTAAGGTAAAAGGTTTAGCCCAAAGGTATTGAATGGCTACATTATGCCAGGCTTTGTTGACCAGCATATGTGAGCGAAGTATGGAACAGTCGTCTCCATTCATATGCAAAATCATTACCAAAAGTTCGCAAGGCAAAGAAGCAGCCATCTGATATTCAGGAAAGTGGGATTGATCGATTACATTTTATTATGGAAAATGGTGTAAACATTACATCATCAATAAATGTTTCTTGTGTAAAATGTACAATCAGCGCAAATTGTGTTTTCTGTACTATATTGTCTATATATTTTACGATCTGCACCCACATCCCCTCGCATTTCCTACTGTCCTTGATCCATATGTCCACAGCTTCTCCCATAAATCGTGCACGCGTCCTTCACCTTTACCGCTCCTTTCTCAAAGCCGGCGACAAGTTTTCTAACTATAACTTCCGTGACTATGTAAAGCGCCGTGCCAGAGATGCATTCAAGGAAGCAAAAAACGAGACCGATCTCACGAGCATAAAGCGATTGGTAGAGAAAGCGGAAACCGAGTTGGCGATCGTTCAAAGACAGAGTCAACTGAGTCAATTATATGGTGCTGAGAAGCTAGTTGTTGAAGATTGGGAGGGATCTGGGAAGAAGAGTCGGATACGAGAACATGGACCAAATTGAATACGATGATGGTGCTTGCATACGGCATCAAGGCAAGCGGTATTATTATTGTTATGACTAGGTTTGTGATGTTAACGGATGGACAATTGAGAAATTTAGACTTTTGGTCAGTGACGGCGTGAATGTATTGGTTTAGTTCCCATTCGTAATAGTAGACGAATTAAAGTTTTGGACTTTACCATTAATCCCCATCTTCACACTCTATCAATTTTAAGCCAATCGTGCTTTAATTCTGACTATCGTGCCATAGCACCTTTGACTCTAGCAATCTCTTTTGTCTAGGATCTCAGATACTCTTGCGTTCGTTTCTGGCCACGCTCTTTATGACTTCCATGGTATCAAGTCCCAACTTTCGACCAATTTACGCTGCCTCGCTAACGAACAAAAAATCCTACGTTCATTGGTTCCATCGAACTCGTTGCTTTTTGGATAATGCGGTTTAATACATTAGTGGCTCCGTTTTCTGTTTACGACCTCCGTTCTCATCGACACAGTTGTCGAAATGCATATGTGTATTCCGACTAGTAAGCATATTGTGGATATCAGCGATTTGTTGAGACATTTACTGACGAACAGGAAGCCAGATAGTCAAGTCGTATTTAATTGTCATATCCTGTTCGTAAAGTTGACTAATAAAGCATTCCAAGTTACTGACCGCAATGTTTGGCCTGAATGATCGCTTGGTCGAGGGCATCAAATCGTGAAGAAAATACAGGAAGAATATTGAAAATGAAAGATCCATCACCACAAAAATCCTCATCTAATTTTCAATGTTCCAGTTTCTAATAAGCAACCTCGATGAAGGGGTAAACTACTTGACTCTAGAAACGCTGGTAATAACAGAGTATATAATGAAATGCCCAGAAGAAGAAGAAGAGCTCATGATGCAGCATCTGCGCTCTGAGTGATAGGAAACATTTCATATCGTTCCATTATAAGAAATGCAAGACTTCGTCTCCTGTTATGTTGAGACTATTCTCACCTCTCGATTAGTGCTATTTAATCTTGAGATGCAATTCCAAGCAATATTACTGGGACTAACAATTATCTTTATTGTACTGGCGGTGGTCGTGTGGGTTCCCTTGTTTTGAGGATCGCGCGAAAATGTCTTCTATAAGAAGAAGAGTCGATGTTCGGCATCTTAATAATAGTTATTTCCCGTTTGTTTGCCTTATTGCCATCAGTTATTAAGAGTCGATGTTCGGCATATGAATCATAGTTTTCATCTTAAGCCTCTGCTCTTTTCTTGTTCTAATGTAGAGAGATCTTTTTATCTTATACTGTCTTTATTCTCATTCACATACATAATACATATACACTACCTGGACACCTCAATTACAAATAATAATTGTGTCTCAAATTTTAATGTCTATTGTTTTGGACGTGTGTGTAGTTTTCATGTTATTTGTAAACACACCAGATTATATGAATATATTCTCAACCTCTTCTAACATTTCTTGGTTTAAAAACATATCTGGCTCTACAAAAATAGGTAATCAATATCAAAAATTAGCAGACTGCTCAAAGTTTATAGAACAGCCGACTCTCACAGAGACAGTCTTGCTACTCGCTACTGGTCTGAGCAACTTAATCTGAGATTGTTGACTAATGAAAGTCAAAAATTGTAAACAAGAAAACCGGCCGAGCAAATCAAAAAAAAAGTGTTGAAAAAACTAGTATTGAAGTTTCTTCTCATGTGCCCAGCTCAAAAGCAATCAGCAAAGAGAATAACGCCTAAAATGGTACACTGAAAGAAGAAATTGGACTTGGAAATGGAAATACGGTATATGGAGTGATGAGAGCAGATTTGCAATATTAATATTAAAAATGATCCTGGTACTAGACTGCGCTTGATAGAAAGTATGTCACAGAGAATAGAAGCAGTTATTATAAACAATGGGTGTCTAATAATATATTATTATATTAATGGTTACTTTGTTGGTTAAAATATGACATGTTAAAATTTGAATCCAGATGTGCAAGACTTTTGTCTAGTAGTGTACATACATTCATAATGTCAGCAAGTGAATTTGCATTGTGGGCTGTCAAGTCAATTATCACAGGACAGCGAATGATAATCAATCAACCTTGAAATTTTAGCTCATTCAATCGGGGCTTGGTTAACCTCTACTTTTTCTACATATATGACCGACGAACTAACGACCTTTTAAATACTCGCGGCGTGTGTCCGAGAATGTATACGTAAATGCTAATTAACCTGCAATTCCCATGCTTATTTCTACCGGCGTGATTATTTCTGACAGCTTATAGGCAATCGGAGTTAACGCGTTTATGGAATCAATAGCCGTCGATGGACAAGATCGATTATCTACTGATAGAGGGAGTGAAATATGAGCTCCTTATATTCTTGACACGAGTGTGTTTCGAGGCTCAACCTTGATTTCAATATCCATCTCAAGTATGCATAAAGGTGACGTTTACCATGTATCGGTATTAGTATTACTTGCACTCATCGTTTTCAGACTTGATGTAACAAAGTACAGTATAAACCAACCAACTGTGAATGCAAAATCAATACTGCTGTCGTATTACAAACGTGTCATTCATTAGAATTCCCATATGTTTTATAGATGCCTGTCAAACTGGAGAGACATACCAGAACAAAAGATTCTAGTACCAACGATCGAAAAGAACTTATTCCTCAATCGCAACAATCAAATGGTCTGTTCGTCTCTCACAATTAGTTTCTTCGTATTAATAGAATACATTAGCTAGCGAAAGTTAGAATTTCCATATTGCATAATAATAATGCATACATTCAAAGTATACTTGTTAAAAATATCACTAAAACGAGAGAACGGGATTTAGACGCTCTCTCTACTCTAGTTGATGTTTATTATTATTATTCGTAACTTACAGAACATTTACCTATTTGAAGTTAAGCCGATTATAATCGCGACAAAATATGTATGCCAAGTACACTAAAGCGAGCTATATACCTATGTCAATCAGTTGATCATCATCACTCTCAGAAATACTATACCCGGATATCAAAGAAAGTGCTATTGGCATTGTGTAATTGTTTGTTATAACAAAATAGTGGCTTACAAGGATCAGTGAATTATGATGCTAACAATACAATGATGGGTATTCAGCTATTTTGGCAATCACTTTGTTTGCATGCCCATATGATTAATCACGATGTTCTCACGCATCGGTGCAACAGCCTCAATCGAATGAAAAACCTAAACTCAAAAAAAAAAAAAAACCTGGACCCTTTACAGAACAAACGAATTAGCTCAATATATTTCTCTTCACCAAAAAAGTCCACTGCTGTACTCGCTTTCTCACCCTAATCATGACTGAAGAAGGAAGACAAGATCTTACTCCAGAACAAGAACGCCGCAAGAGACGACGTGAGTTGAGACAAAAAAAAATCATAGCTAAAGCTGGAGATAGATTGCAGCAGATCACACAAACACATAATTTGGAAGTACCAGCGAAAATCTCACCAGCGAACAGCCAACAATCGTCTCCGACTTCTACCGAACCTCCTGCTAGACTCGTCGAATGCTATAATGGTAGGTCATTTTGAGAAACAGGTGACTGATATTTGCGATTCAATTGCACAGAAAAGGTCAATTTTCAGATGATTTGGGTTTCGATAATTTCAGTCAAGCTGTTGCCCGCGGCACCAATCATTCATTTATTTATATCCATCTCATACTCTAACAAATTTTTAAAATACCAATTACAGATCCAACTTCCTACTCCACATATTTACGAGAAAAACCTGACGCACCAGAAGTCACAGTATCCTCCCCCTCTACTTCAAACGGTGAAACAGCATTCAATTTTTCATCTTCCCCCGAACGAATAGTTAGCAATAATGGCAGCACCTCAACAAGACTCTCATCTCCAACACCAATACCACAGCCACAAGGCCATGCTACGCGAAGACGTTACTCTACGCCTCCATCACCCACCACCACTGGAACTACACCACCAACCAGTGGATTCGCACCCTTTCAACAGACAGGAGATGACAGCGACGGATACATGGATGATGACTACTTTCGATTAATGTTAGAAAATTTTCGAGCACGGAATAACAGTACCGGCTCGCTAGCGTCAACAGTTGGAGGCAGTGTGTCTAATGAGATGCCGTATCATATATCTTCGTCAGTTGGTAATAATACTGTTACTGCTTACGTTATCTCTCATTGACATCATTTTAACTCTCCACATATCTACATTTTCAAAACCAGCCGAAGAATCGGAAACAGAAGATCAATCACAACCGTTAGATCAATTACCGTTCCCGTTCCCGTTTGCTAATCTGCAGTTTCTACCACAAGGATTCACGTTTCAAATGACCGGTCAGGGACAGAGGGAGACGGACGTCAAGAGCAAACTATGGGATTTAACACATCTCTTGGTCATGTTTGGGATTGGGTTATATACCGTGATGGAAGAGTTTTCTGTGGAAAAGGGAGCATGGAGTAGGTTCGCGTCGTTGAAGAGATCGGGTGAGAGTATTGGATATTGGGTGAGTCTTTACACGGATAAAAATTGGTTTAGGTTAGATCTAGGTCAGCTTTAGTTTAGATTTAGGTTAGCTTTAGGTTAGTTCTAGGTTAGGGTTAAGATCGGAAAAAGTGAGGAAGATATTATGGCCAATTAGATACTAAGAAGGGAAGGGGATGCGATTAGTTTAATGCTAACAAGCTGCGGAAAATTTTTATGTACAAAGTCACTAATTTTGAATAGCCTTTATTTTGGTACTTTACACTAGCTGAAGTAATATTACAGTCAACGCGAATACTAACCTCTGAGGTAATTCTTTCCTCTCCTTTGGTTTCTTTTCTTATATATTTTTCATCGACCGTTTAATCACACTTACACCTATTCATAGAGTCCTCTCTTCCAAAATCCATCTGTAATCAACACACTTGCAACAAGATTGCCTCGACCAATTCTTGATGTTGCTACGATCTTGGTGCGATACAAGTTGATATGGGATTGCATCTGGACGGACATTTGTGTGTTAGTATTTCTTGTTGGATGTTTCGTTGTTGTTGCATCGTTGTTTGCAGGATAAGGGAATGGCAAAAATGATGATTGGTTATGGTGAGAGAAAGAGAGAGAGAGAGAGAGAAAGGGGTTGCATACAGCTGTGAATATTGCAGATGCAGTAGGATCTTGAAACATTTTAATTTAAGAGTTATTTAAAATCGTTGAGTTTATTTAGGAACAAAATAGTAAAAAGCATTGTGATTTAGTTGTACAAATATTGATGGGTGACGACCGAACTAAAAAGAATACCAAGTTGCAGCAAAATAGCTTATTGACATTCTGTTCTGTCTTTCAGAAAAACTAAACGTATTCCATTGTATATTACTTTTTTTGTACCTTAACTATCCGACTGTTTTCATTGTCACGGACTAGGTCTCTGCAGTCACGTATTAGTAAGATGCTATATGTATGTGATTGCACCGGGTCAGAAGCAACTATGATTATATTTCTCTGACATTCTTAATGGCATTTTCAGCAACTGAGACTACTTGCCTTCAGTATATTCTTGGAAAAGATCAATTAAAAATGCCAAACAACAGAACGTGGTTAAGGGAGACTCGTTGATGCACGGGATTGGGAAAAAATTCGTCAACGCATTTCCCATCGCGCGCAAAGAGAATTAGCCGTGTGACCAATGTTATTATTTTATTCTCGTCACACGAAGACAAAGTTTATTTTTAGTTTTTTTTTTATTTCCCTCTTAAATTGTACAACAGGTGCCGTTAAAAGTAAGCAATTGTGAATAAAAGTTCCTCGCGATAGTTAAAAGTAAGCATTTTATTGTCAACATCTACATATAGTAATTGCCCATTAAAACATTGTTGCGAATCAATAGTACGAAGATTATTAAAATTTCGAGATAATCGCAAGTATAAATTACAGACACTGTTTAGCAATTGCGAATACATTTTATCGTTTATAACTCTAAAATATGGCTACATCGTACAGTAAACTGCAGCATGAATTGGAATCAGTGTTTAGTAACTTCGTTTTCAATTGCGCATATACTTTAAATAAATGAATCGGGTCACTGAGAACAATATAATAATGAACAATATTGGAAATTGGGCGCAATTTATTGTGGACTATTACGCATCTGACGCTTTGCGCTAGGGTCTTAAGCAACTCTCACACGTGCGACAAATCGATTACTATATATTGCAGCTCTATTTTTATCCTTCCCACACCATCGTGATAAACATTACACCCACTGTAAAAATAGCCCATTAACGTGTTATAAGGATGGGATGAGAGACGGAACAATCTTCACAGATTCAATTTGTTCACCCGAAAAATGCTCAAATTATTCACACTTGTCTTGCTTATTTCTTTCGTGTTGTGCAACTCTTGCTCTCATGTTGTGGCTAGACCGCTTCACACACGGTGTCTTGTGTGTCCTCTCATCCTGTATGATTGCCAGTGAGTATAACATATGTAAAAGGGCAATATACTGTATCGATTATAGTTTACCACATTGTTGTACTATTTCGGAATCGAATGTAGATGCACCCAAAACCAAATTCTTGTACGGCACGAGCAAACTTGTACTCGATGTGGTGGTTGTGAGTGCGTTCCAAAATGCAGATAACCTTCTTGGGGAAGAATGGTGATGCTGATGCGTCACCAACGCCATGTATCGACAAGAGTCTCAGGGGAAGCTACATTAGATTTATTGCGTTCAATCGATGTGTTGGAGCGATTAAATTGTCATCACGTGTCGAACCTTAAATATACTTTAATCAGTTTATGCTTATTATACTTTTTATTGGAACTTTCAATGCGTCAAGCAATACTTGATATCCTGGGTAATTAACCGTCTAATAATGGGTTGCGGCGTGTGTCGCTCTCACAATCAAACCAAATTTGATGCCCTTTTGTTCGTTAGTATGCGAAAGCCAAGGTATTATTAGCTTCGTATGACACATAAGCATGATACTGGTAAACATTACCAAATTATGAAATATGCGCTGTATGAATTTCCTATAATTAATCATCTTTCCAATTGAAATAGACAGTCGATAATATGCGCTGCCCATATTTTATTCTGTTTTACATCATCACGCTGCAAAAGTTATCTTTCTCGCAGCCTTGCAATTTCACCTTATCAACAATAAACAATAACGAAATCGGTCGTTGGAGCGCGGGTATATGGAATGTGAGAAACTACTTCACAGAGAATGTGTGTGCAAAATATACATAAATACGTGGGGCGAAGGTGAATGGCAGAGAAGGTTACGGAATGATCTAGCACAAAGTCTGATAACCTGTACACATCGAATAATATTATTAAAATGACCAAACGAATCGGATTTCTCTTGCTCACATGTATCGTTCTATTCTTCATTTCCGCTAATGCTCGTCCTCAAAATGGACCAACTCCAACACCAACACCATCAGAACCAACACCATCGTCTCAAGGAGTCGGAGGAGGAGGAGGGTCTCAGTGGTGGCCACCTAGATGTGTTTTCTGCCCCCCTCGGCCATTTAGACCGTGCTTGTAAGTATTAGAACAAAGATCGCGTAAAACTTTATTATCCGTATGATTTTTGTGCAGAACTAACTATAATGTAATCACTCCAGCTGTGGCCCCTTCGAATATTGCGTTTTTGTCCCGAGAACTTGTTGGCAATGTGGTTATTCTAGATGTGTCCCAAGATGGCGACCTTGGCAGGGGGGGCCACCAGATTCAGCAGCAGACGACAACGATGTTGCCGCTTGAAAGTATTTGATTGGCTGTATTCAATCAAATAGAGCACTATATGTTAGTGCCAGTTTATTGTCAAATGGATATCTTAGCTTCGTTATTTGTGTTAATAAAATGTCTATTTGTTATGTTAATAAAAAATCGAATATTGTATAAAAATTTTTGGCCAAACTTACGGGTAGATCCTCCAATTACCCATAAATCGTTCCTCCAATTACCCATAAATCGTTTCTCGTTCAATATTTTTTTTTGATCGCAACATATCTTTTCCACCAAAAAATGTCTATTCAGTCTCGACAAGAAATACTGCATCTCTACCGTCATTTTCTCCGTACCCTAAAACTATGGCCTCCTGATGATTTAAGGCCAAATCGAAGTCTAAGAAACGTATTATATGGACAAATTAGAGAGGAATTCAGGAAAAACTTAAATGTAGAAGATCCTGAGATTAGTAGAAAGTTAATGGAGGAAGCGAAGATGGAGTATATTGCTTTGCAGAAATTGGTTGGAAACGAGTATAAGGAGAAGGTAGAGTACTGTTGCAGTTGACTGACTGGTCACGGTCGAATTGTATTAGTCTTACGCTTTTAATTTAGACTTATTAGAAAATTTATAGTAATGTAAATTGGGAATCTCATTTAATTAACTACCCATCAATCAACAATGACCTCCTTACCGCACTATACTAACTGGTCAGTAATGTCTTCTGTTTAGTATGCACTGTCGGCTAGAATTTTCAAACCGTCAAAGAAGCCTTCACATTATAAAAATCTTCTTGCTCAGTTAGAGAAAGCAGCCAAGAAGAAGAGAGACGAGTTACATCGTCCTTCTCTGTGGAGAAGACTATTTGGATGATATGGACTGCAAGATTTGGGGTTATGGGATTATACGATGTGGAACAATATCATTAGATAATCCAGAGCGGGGAATGCAACAGAGATGATAGACAATGAGAAACAGTGGGTCAACCGTATAAGATCAACTGATCAAGTCATTCGTATCGAACATATTTAGGCCACATAAGCATAAAACTGAGTCACATGCTTTTCACTGAACACGATAGTACGAGATCACTGCGATGATTAAATCCTTTGAATGCATTAACCTTTACGCCACCATCCTTGATTTTGATATATTCAAATTATTTTATTGAAATCTTTCTTCCTGAATAAAGAGATTATTCATGTTATGGCATTAATGACCGTATGCTAAATATCGTCTAATGTTCACTATTCACACTTGTTGCAATGGTACTTGGGTCAAACCCTAGAGAGCAAAAAGCGCTTGAATATTAGCGTCGGTTTTGATTAAACAGATTACAAGATGAAATAGTATATTAAATATACGACCTGGCATAGGAAAGCTTGTGGCGAAATCCTCTACTTCTTTCTTGAGTGCTGGAATGTCATTGTTATCCTGGAGAGCTGCTACAAAGTCCTTCATCGTATTGTTACCTGCCTTCTCCTAGATTATAAACAACTCGTCAATCATGCAGTCATCGCGCAATTGACTATTCTACTTAAGAATGCTATTAATGTTATTGTTACGTACCTGTACTGCAACCGATATCTGTACAGCTCGGTGTAGGAATTCGGCAACCTTGATGAAATCTTGTTCTTTAAAGCTTCTTGATGTCAATGCAGGTGTACCCAATCGCGCTCCACCTGGAGAGAGCATGCTGATATCTCCATGTATGGAGTTTTTGTTGATCGTGATACTGCGACGAACAAAAGAAAGCTCGATTAATCCGACCAACACTCCCAACTCAAATTGGTCTGTATAACGCGGCCAGAACTTACTTTGCCATATCACAAATCTTCTCGAGCTTATTTCCAGTCAAATCTAAAGGCCTCAAATCCCAAAGCACCAGATGGTTATCCGTCCCACCAGTTACCAACTTGTATCCATATCCAGTCAATGCCTCGCCCAATGCCTTAGCATTAGCTCTAACCTGCTTGGCATACTGTTTAAATTCAGGTGCCGCCACCTGCTTCAACGCAACAGCGATTGCAGCAATGGTGTTATTATGTGGTCCACCTTGACATGACGGGAACACTGCACCATTCACGCGGGTTTCGAGCTCGTCTTTGTTTTTACGAAAGAAAACCAATCCAGCACGAGGACCACGGAGGGTTTTGTGAGTAGTGGTGGTTACGACATCACAGAACGTGAACGGATTGTTGGCCTCTGCACTAGCTACAAGACCACTTATGTGTGCTATATCGGCCATAAGATAAGCACCGTGTTGATCGGCAATTCTACGAAGACGAGCATAGTCCCAGTCTCGTGCGTACGCACTTGCACCACAGATGATGAGTTTTGGACGGAACAATTGAGCATTCTCTTCTAGTTTATCGTAATCGATTATCCCAGTGTCTCCGTTTACTCTGTACGGCATTGATTGGAAATAAATCGAAGACGATGAAACCTTTCTCTTTGCTGTTTGCCAGCCATGAGTCAAATGTCCACCTGATGGAAGATCTAATCCCATAAGACGATCTTGTGGTTGTAGTAAGGCAGTCAAAGTAGCAAAGTTGGCTGTACTTCCCGAGTACGGTTGGACGTTTACACCCCACTCGGATGGATTCAGACTAAAGGCTTCCAATGCTCGTTTACGACAGAGGTTTTCGATTTGGTCGATGTATTCGTTCCCACCGTAATAACGGGCTCCGGGGAGTCCTTCAGAGTATTTGTTGGTTAACGGAGAACCATTTGCTTCCATTACTGAGAGTGAAGTAAAGTTCTAGAATAAAATAATAAATAGGAGTTGAATTCGAGAAGAGGAACTACATGTTTGAATGAACGGGGTGGTGTTTAAGCGGGGTGAATAGCATTGATGAAAATGCATGCTATGAACGTGTCTGATGGGTTGCATTTAGCGATAAAGTCATTACCTCTGAAGCTATTAATTCCAATCCAGAGTATTGTCTATATTTTTCCTTCTGAATCAAGTCATAAATTTCTTTGTCGTCCTCTTGGAGAGGCGTGTTCAGACAAGCATTCTAGTGGATAGGCAACTTGATTAGATGTAAAAATAACTCAAGACTCGATTTCCTTCCTCGGCGAGTAGCAATTATAAATAATACCCATGGATCAACTGTGCGCGCCATCGGATCGTAAAAGCTAAAGATGGGTTAAAGATTGAAAGAAAAGCAAAAATAATTTTTTTTCTTGGATGATCGGATAATTACGTGCATCATATATTAATATTCGGGGGTACGGTATGTCATTTACCGATCATTTACCTGGGGGTACCGATCATAATTTGCCGATCATTTTACAATAGTAATAGTAGTAGTAATAGTAAAAACGCATAAACTTCAAAACGTCAAGGACATAGGTCATGGCCTCAAAGACTTAACTAATAGATCTTTCACGCTTGATTTACCAGAAAATGAAGTTTTTTTTTATAAAATAATTGAAAACTATTCGTACAAAGAAGTTATATATATATAAACTGATGATAACGTCAATGAAAACGAATCAGGAGGAGAGAGAATTTGAAGATATCGTATTTTTGTTATCAAATTGAGAAAGGCCACTTCCTTCTTAAATCCTTGCCGATCATTTGACTAATAACAAAAATACGATATCTTCAAACTCTTACAGGCAAATTAAAAAAAATGGAGTCCTTTTTTTCGTTTCCATTGACGTTATCATCAGTTTATATACAGTATATAAAACTTCTTTGTACGAACATTTTCCAATTATTTTATAATAAAGCGTGAAGAATCTGTTGACGTTTTGAAGTTTATGCGTCTTTACTATTACTATTGTACCCCTCAACATATGCCAATGGTTTTCAAAGTCACGCGAAAGCTGCTTTTTTGTGAATGCTATCATACTATAACAGGCAGTTGCTTGTTGCTTAGTTGCGCAATAATGATATTCAAGGATTGAATAATTCTTCTCGTATTGTCCAGCAATTTTCATTCTTCTTTCTCAAAAAAACCGGTAGACTATTCAGGTCGAAGAACGCATCAAACTTTTTAAATCGCATTAATCTTAGATAATTAATATTAATATACTGCATCCCTAAATGTCCTTCCAAGTGAATCCGATTAATTGAAAAGGTTGTCAAAGCGTCTACGGGTCGAAACCGAAAAAAAAACCAACATAGCAACCAGACAGAATGTCATTCTTTAGTTACAGCGGATACACATGATAACAGTTTAACTTGTTAACAAAGATACAGTGCATTATCCCAAGTCTTCCTTACTGTATGAAGGGTTTTATTCCACTGTAAACAGACGCTACTTTCAACCTCGAAAAACTATTCTTAATATAAATATCACGTAATGTGCTTGCTTGCGTCGGCGTATTAGTTAAATTCGGGCAATAAGCATACACTTATGTTATTGAACAAAAATATTCGATCTCTCAATCTATGATTGGTCACAGTTTCTGTCCCGCGGTAAACGTACGAGGTTTTTCCATCATTAATTCGATAGTAATAATAGTTTTATATTATCAGTCAGTCAAAAGAGAGTCTGCATATCCAAAGACGTACGAACAAATAATACGAAAGTTGTACTGTTAGTGATTGAAAGCGTTGATCGTAAAGCGAAGGATTGCCGAGTTAAATTATTGTACGTGTTATATTAAGTTCGCTGCACGGAATTTTTAGATCCAATCCTCAACCTTAAATGGCTTTGGTAATAATAAGGCACTAAGATCGGTATTATGTCCACTGGCTTGCGAAAAGACTATGCATTTAAAACATTCTCTTAAACCCTACAAGTTGCATACTGTAACAATTTGAAAGTACATTATTTGATTTCATTTATTATCTTCCCATAAAATTCGTAAACTATCGATATTAATATGGTTACATTCTATGTTTGAATAAAACTATGAGATAATGGCTAACACGACTCTACCTATATCGATGAAAATGTATGACAATCTATAGCTCTGCTATGTTGTTAAGACGCTGATAAAACCTGTGTGTTTTTGGAAACTGTGCTTCTAGTGCTGATTTCGCACAATATCTGTTCTCATCATCTTTTGCTTTACTGTATCCCTGTTTAGCTGCTTCTTGATAGTATTTATTTGCTCTTTCAACATCTTTCTCTACTCCAATTCCATACTTATAATAAAACCCAAGTCTATGCTGTGCACAAGAATTTCCTTGTTCAGCAAGCTGTTGATAGATTGAAACTGCCTTTTGTACTCCTCCAATTCCCTCTATATGCAACTGATCAAGACTATCCTGCGCAATAACATCACCATGTTCAGCTGCTTTTTGATACAATTTGACTGCGAGTTTGTCATTCTTTTCTACACCAAGACCTTGATGATAACATGCTCTCAGCTTAGCTTGGGCATTAGCATTTCCTTGCTCAGCTGCTGCCTGAAATAGTTCAAAACTCTTTTGAATGTCTTTTACTACTCCAATCCCCTTATAATAACACACTCCCAGCATAGTCTGGGCATTAGCATTTCCTTGCTCAGCTGCTGCCTGAAATAGTTCAAAACTCTTTTGAATGTCTTTTACTACTCCAATTCCCTTATAATAACACTCTCCCAGCTTATTTTGGGCATTAGCATTTCCTTGCTCAGCTGCTGCCTGAAATAGTTCAATTCCCGAATATCTTTATTTATTCCAATGCCTTTATAATAACATTGACCAAGATAGCTTTGTGCATTAGCAAATCCTTTCTCAGATGCAGATTGAAAAAATTTAACTGCTTTTCTAGTATCTTTTTCTACTCCAATTCCATTTTGATAACATTTGGCAAGATTATGTTGTGCACCAGCATATTCATGCACAGCAGCATTATGATATAATTCAACAGCCTTACATTCATCTTTTTCTATGCCAAGACCATTCTGAAAGCACCAACCAAGTTTAATCTGTGCTCTGATATCCCCCTGTTCAGTTGCTTGCTGATACAACCTGGCAGCTTCTTCTAGATCTTTTCCAACAGCAATACCATGACTATAAAAGTGACCAAGACTACATTGTCCCATAGGATTATTTAATTCTGCTGAAGTTTGAAACCAATAAACTGCTTGATCAAGATTTTTTTCAATTACTATTCCAGTTGCAAAAAAAAATCCAGTCAGCCAAGTGCATGTTCCACAATTCTTATGGGGTTCGATAAGTCTGGCGAATAACTTATCCTGATCATAACTACACTTCATTAACCACTCCCTTATTGGCTTGGCAATTTCATCCTGACATTTTCCTTTCGATAACTCTTTAAGGTATACTGCCTCTAGTGCTTTAACAATTGCATGTATGTTTTTATGTGAGTCTAAATCCATTTGCTGAGTCATATAATGGCTTGGGTCCAACAAATAGATCAAAGCTTTAAGACTTCTCTTCATGCAATAATTAAAATAATAATTTGGAAAATAAAAAAAGGCTACCCAGCCAATATGACTTCTTCAGACACCGCGGAGGAAGACTGGCTAGATAAGAGCGTGCAAGACAAAACGAGTCGATTTTATCCCTTCGTCGATCTCACTGATTCGGCTGAAATGAAAAAGATAGAGAATGAAATTGTTGGTCAAAATGAAACCGAAGCGCAAGAATATGATGAATGGACACTAGTGTCTCTTGAACAAAAAAAAGTTCAAGCGATAATAGTACGTACCACTGACGCACACAAAAATTTATTGTGCTGACCTCCGAACTAGCACGTATTAAATAATATTTGTTTCAGGGAGTTCGCTTATTATTAACAATGCATTCCTTTTTGTAGCATGCGAGTACATCGCACAGCGTATAAACAAATGACGTAATGCATAGTAATAGTAATAGATGCGAAAATTCAAATTACAAGCCTTTGCAGAACCACTGTTCATGATTCACAAGTATGGATTAGAAACGCTTGCGTTTGTTATGAAGCTAACGATTATGTTTGATGAGCCGCAAGTAAATAAGAAAAAGTTGCACACTCTGAAACATAATAATAAGGATATGCCACACTCCAAATACTATATAATAAATAGTGCTGATTGTGGTAATGTTTAAGGATAGTACATTGATATACATTGATATACAAGGAAGCATACTAATACAGCTAAATGCATTCTAAATTTATAGCTCTAAATGCATAAATCCTCCAAGTGCATGCTTTCCCGAGTGTTCGGTTATTGCATAAATGCCTATTACTATAATAATAAATTTTACGTCATTTTGCCTCCAAATGCATACCTCCTCTTAATGCATAGAATTATGCGGTCCCACGATTTGCACATCGCCCCACTATTTATTTAGCATAGCATTTGTCATGAGGCAAATATAAAGACAGATCTTACTATAATTACCGTATGTGAATTGAAATAATCAGACAAACTTTATTATCTCTTAGTATTAGCATGTCAAAATTTTGGAATAATCTATGAATAGAAACTCTGCTTTTTAACAACTTATGGTATGTTACTTTTAGTTTAATGCGTCATCTTTCCAGAGTCCATTATCTGATTGATTCGTGAACTATAAATTTGAACAATAAAGTTTCGCGCCATTTATAATCGGTATAGCAGTGAATTATTTGTTGTGCGATTTCTTTGGTAATTCCATTCTTTCAGATTTGGACAGGGTCTTAAGACGTCTTCAGAAAGAAATGCCACGCCTGTCAAATTGGGTTTGTCAACCATTATAGAATTATTAATATTAATCCAAAAGAATATCCAACCTTATTGCAGTTGCTTTTTCAAACATTCTTCTGGTTTATTTATAACATTTGCGGTTACTAAGACTGATCATGCTTAAAATTGTGCGATTAAACCACACGTCATCATAATGTATCATTATATGATCTATTAGGATAGCACGGGAGTAGATTACAGTACGCGTTTCTGGAAAAGAATTCCACCAATAAAAGATTGCAAGAAGAACAATTGGCAGAAAGAACCCAAAGTAAATGACATTTTCATAACGTGATAAATGAAACTTAGGAAGTATGGTATATAGCGATCCCATCAATAAATGTAAAGACTTCAGATAATCGCGTACTACAATAAGGACGTGTTATATATAGCCATCAATGCTCTCTTTATGCTTCGCATCGTCGTGTCTTCAAAGCTGTAATTACTTTAACCAGTATCGTAACAAAATACCGAGAAAAACTGTTCACTTTGAATCATGCTAAGAATAAAGTATTATGTAATACAAAACAGGCGAGAATACACTGTATATCAGGAGATTGATCCATAAAGCCGGTATTATTTCTTTTTATCCTTTCGCCTAAAGTCAGAAAGTATGTGACTCATATTAAAGAATTCAATCGTTGCGAATCGTCTTTGCTTTATAAATTGTTATATACATATCCGCTATTTACATACAGCGTTGGATCCACTTGTAAAAGACCCCCAAGAAATGGAGAGGCAACTACACAAATAGATAGCCAAGTTACTATTTCTATGCTCCAATTGCAAAGGTGTGGATTAAATTTATTGTCACAACATTCTCTCTTAAAGCATTGTAACAGATCAGTGAAGCACACTTCCACGCAGAGAGAATGTACTCAGGAATGTTTACTGCTTATGAACTAAATACTACTTCTACACCTTTACATTCCCCCGCAATAAATAGTGGTTAATTCTCGTCGACGAGAATTAGCTGTAAGAATGAACAACTCACTCCAACCCATCCATATATGCCCAATAATTACATGCCCTATTGAGAAGAAAAGCTGATAGATCTCTTTGCAGCAGTTCGAAATTTCAAGCAAGAAAATCTTCAACAAGCTCGTTAGCATTACAAAATACGTAGAAAATGAAACATTAATAAATTATTAAATTAAATAGAGTACTACTGTTAGTTCATATAACCCCAAGCGCCAACCCATTTCTAGTCACGTCCATTTTATTTTTGTTCATGAAAGTATTATTATAGCCATTGTGGAAACGCCACTCTCCTTTACTGCCAAAGGATTCTGCGTGAGCGGAGAAATCAGCAGGCTCAGCGCGATCGAACGTTTCCATATTGTCATTTAGTCTTTGATAAACAGAATTGATCTGAGACTCTGAGGAACGTCGTATAAGTGCTGGGTCTTGAACGGTTGTTCTCGATGAACAATATCGAGGACGCCGTGGTATCATTTCAGATCTCGCAAAGTTTCGAGCATGTTGTGTTCTATCCATGTCCATTCTAAGCTCATAAGTATCCCACCCATCATCAAAGCGTTGTAAAGGTTGTCTACTGGTATACAATCCATTTCCGGCTCGCAGAGTCTCTTGTTCCCGTTCACGAACGGGTGAAGAATAAAGAGGATTGCGAGAGAATGACTCTACGTTACCTTCTCTATCAAACTTTTGCCTAACGCTTGAACTCTTGTTTCTCCACGTACTAAAGTAATCTTCACCGGAACCAAGCGGCACTGGAGAGTACGATCTAAACGGACTAAATCTTCCGTCATCGCTGATGACCGATTTGTCCATATTAAGAGACATCGAGGCTTTGTTAAAGGACGTTGTTGGCGATCGGGAAAAGAATGAAAATCCCGACTGTGAAGAAGAATCCGTAGGTAACGGCAGCTCAGACGCATCAGATTTGCGCGTCCTTGTTCCAATCGGATCTTGGGAAGAACTACGTAATTGAGTAAAACATTGTTCTTTGGGTAAGGTACGAGGTATCTGATCCATTGCCAAATTCCCTGAATTCATGTGTGTCGAAGCATAGATGTCATTAATGTACGACGGCGTTGGCGGCTTGCTCGTCGTTTCGTGTATTGGGAGCGGAGAAATATTTGGTTTGTATGAGCCAGATCCAACAAGTGAATTCTCTAACTGTTGTTGGACGAGTAGCTGCCAGCGTTCCTCGTCCAACGGGAAGTGCATTCTTAGATATTCTTCGTTATCTGTTGTTGGGAAGAGAGCAGAATACGGGGTACTAGGCGAATAACATGGTGAACTTGATGATATTGGTGTCAGTGGCTGAGGACTGAAGACAACTGGACTGAGGGACGAAGAGGAAAACATGGAAGCCGCTGATCTTGGGGTACATAGTAATTCCAGTTCCAAATCTAAATATCGTACTAGCGTGTAAGTTTACCAGAAAAGAATAAGGATTATCTGCACAAATAACTAACTACATACCAAGCTCGTCATATCGATTCTTCTGCATCTCATCTGAATCGATCATGTATGGGTCGTATGCGCCCATAGACAAATGGGGGAATGGATTTATTACAGATCGGGATCCATAATAATAATTATGTGAAGGTCTACGTTTGAGGGCGTTAAGTTCGGAAGAGCTATGCCGATGCCTTAGTTCCTGATGTTTGGCCGTTTGTGAAAGTTTTGGATAGGAGGCGGGATGAGAAAGGGTCCGATAATGTCTTCCTTCTGTGTAATAATAGAATGACAATCACTCATCATGCGTTATATTCAAATGCGGGAAGGGTGTAAAAGTATTTTAGACATACCATTTGAGACTTGATATTCGCCCAGATCTCTTCCTGATTTTTTGTATTCTTCTTGAATCCGATAAATTTCTTTGAGGTAAATACATATATATATTAGCATTTGACGTACGTGTATTACAAACAAATAAACTCTAAATAAAGAATATTATTATACAAACCATCAAACTGCCATTTCATAGGAATATTTTCTTTGGGTTGCGATGCTTTATCAAGATATCGTCAGTCAATACAGAGACACTAGAGAGTGATATATAGCATAGACTCTTCTCATGTATACCGGAATTACAGCTTACCACGTCGAGGGCCTATCTCTCCTTCCTGGCATTTCGCCAGTGCGGTAGTGATGGTCATATGTTTCTTTTCCTTTTCCGCAGACTTAGTTGAAGTTTCTAACAATAAAGCCGATTCACTACTCGCGCGGCGAGTGTGGCTTATTTCACTTCGGAGAGACATAACGTATAATAATAATAAGAAAAGAGGGAAGAGGGTAATGTATATAAAAAGTGCAAATTGGTTTTGAAAAAAGTATTTGTATATATTATGAGAAAGTAATTGTGGTATTTTTTATTATTATTTGGTTTTATCTTTTCGTTTCTCGACTCTGCCCTTGTTTTTCCGTTGGAAAGCCACAGAAAAAACGAGAGGGAGCGAGCTTTGAACTTTGTATCGACGTACTTATCGCAGAGAAGGCAAGGTAATGTACGCTCTATTGGATACGAAAGGGTATTTAACCATTTGAGGATGTCTAAACACTAAAGTGGTTCGTAGTCATGGCCAATTTTAGGTTTTCCGAAAAACGACACATTCAATGGAAAGTTGGTCAAAAAAATGTGAATCATCCCGAGAAGAAAGTGATACGAAATTATAATGTTAATAAGCACGCAGCGTTCTAATAATAGAGAAATAGGTCGAAACATAGATAAGCAGGGTTTTGTGCAAATGTAATAGAATCCTTATTGAAAGTGCGTGGGAGATGTCACTCAACATTAAAAAAAAAATAAGCGGGTGGGCTTTTGTATAAGCTCTTGTTCCGTTCTGTATGGCGATCCTTCCATTATATGTTGGGGTTCCCTACATGTGGTGATACAAAATATGGAATAGTTACGACCGAACCTTCGGTATGTTTTTTGGACGCTCATTATAGTTTTTAAGAATATTGCACATGCATGCAAAATAGGTAGCAACCTCCTCTTTTTGCGACCATGCGTCTTCTAAAATTCGATAGACTTTGGCATATCTTTCCATCAGAAGAATTTGCTTTGTATGCATGAATCACATGATTTGTTGTGTGCCTACACCTTCCCCGCCCTCTCGAGCAACCGTAAACTTTTTAGTTAATCTAAATGCGTTTACAGAAATATAGAGTATTGGGTGTATCCTCAAAATGGTTGCAAAGGAACGTTAGACAAGGTGTAAGTGACAGCATTAGGTTCGGTTGCCATACCCAGAACCCAGTCACTTATAACTGCTTTGCGCTTTGTCGCACACATTTGTTAACTTCAGCGCGACTAGTAAAAGTATCTTATTTGTGTGGAGGAAATACTGCTCACTCGTCAACGTCACTATCGAACAACGGGACAGTGTTTAAAGACCCTCTCAGATATTACACTACTCAGGGTACTGATTCCACAACTGACAAACCCAACCCAACCCCGTTCGACGTGCTTGGTTTGCCCCATAGTGCAAGTACTGCTGATGTGAAGGGGCGTTACTATGAGCTCGTCAAGCAATATCACCCTGATAAAGTTGGACATAATTCGCCTGCTGCTCTGAATAGATTTCGCAATGTCGTTAAGGCATATGAATTGCTTAGTAATCCAAAAAGTAGAGAACTTTATCTTCGCTACGGCATAGGATGGATTGATACGTCTTTTATGAAAAATACCATACAAAACAATTCGTCCTACAAAAGTGGACCAAGATATGCGCATGTAAATACTTGGGGTCGAGGGGAGGCTGGTGGTAAGCCTATATACATATCCAATATATATTTTGCGGCCTTTTTAGTAACAGCAGCTATTTTTTGTTCAATGTTCCAATTCTTGCGAGCAGAGAATTCAATAAGCAGTATTAGATTAGCCCAAGAGAGACATAATTTACAAGCTAGTAAGGACCTGGCAAGGGCAAGACAGCAAGGAAAAAAATATGCGCGACAGAGAAAAGCTGCCCTGAGGTTAATGTATAATCAATCAAACGGATATAAAGATGATAATAATATATGTAATAGCGGGCGCATCGTGAGTGATGATTTTGAAGTTTCCATCAATTCCTGATTGCGCGACAATTTATTCATTTAAGAAGGGGAAGAAGGTGAAAACAAGAGATACTGAGACGGACAATTCATTCAACATATTGTAGAATACAAAATTGAACTTTGGAATCAAGGGGATGTTAATTCGGTGCAAGAAGTTGACATGTTCAAACAATATATTCAGAGGTTAGGGTATAGAATATTAGTATCCTGAATATGAGGTCTTGAACTGTATAATGACAGTTAGCAATCAGCAAGCCTAAATAAAGTGTATTGGCCCGGCACAATTTATAGTAAATACCACGGGCCTTAAATTCAGCCATTACTTAATAAATTACTTAAATTGGGAAGCTCTTCGGTTGAAATGGTAGACATTCCGATGAGTGACGATGAGTGTAGTAAGATTAGTAATCGTATGAATAAGTTAATAAACTGTCCCCATTTCTGAAATGTTGGAGAGTAATAAGGCGTGAGTAAATACCGCATTGTAACTTTTTGCGGACACGAGTTTGACGTTTGACACATCTCCTGATTGCGGGGCTAATGACCATTCTATTACGTTCTCCAAAAATACGTTCACGTGTATAGACAGATCGAAATATTAGTATGGACACATTTCCAATCGACTTGCGAAAAATTTAATTTTGGAGACGATGTCTGCCTTTGCTATCTCTGCTTCAAAACCGATCATAGGGACTCTGGAGGATGAAGGAGAGATCTCGTCTGTCGACTTTACACTCCCAGAATATCACCGCGACGGGTCCTTGCGCCTTGCCAAGTACGCATACCGCGTACATACTCCAGAAGCAAAAGAGTCGACAGTCTGGAGAAATGATAAAGAACTGATAAGCCTTGGCGAAGGCTACAAAATTCTCAAAGTTAAATACTGTGGAATATGTTCAACAGATTTAAGTAGGCGTTGGCTACCTTATCCCCTACCACAGGTAAACCAAAGTCGCGTGAATATTCGTATAATTAATTACACGAGTCTCGTCTCTCATCCTCCATCCCGTTGAAAGATAACCGGACATGAAGTTGTAGGATTTTACAAATCAAAGCCGGTTGTTATTGAAATAAATGCGTCACACAAAGCCCGTGGCATCGCAATTATCCCTTGTGCATTTTGTTCATCTGGGTTAGAGACTCATTGCCCAGATCGTGTAAGTGTCGCAAATTCTTGTTTCATTATCGAATGCTTTTGTAGGCTCACGATCATATACTTTTTATTTTCCAAGATGACTCTGGGTATTAATCAATTGCCAGGAGGCTTATCGCCTTATGTTATTGTCCCTAAAAACGCCATTAAATATGTACCTGAGAATCTGAGCCTGATGGCTGCAGTTCTAACAGAACCCTTTGCTGCTGCTCTGCATGTATGTTGATTCATTATGACAAATTGGAAATTTATGGAATGTGTGAAGACGAATGTGGGTTTTTTAAAATAGGCCGTAGAAACTACACCACCTAAAGAAGGCAATGAAGTGGCAGTGATAGGTCCGCGTAAACTTGGAATGCTTGTGCTTGCTGCATTATATGGTACGTAAGTGTATAACCTGGTATGTATACTATTCGTCTTTTTTGGCAATTATTTCATTTCTCTAATTGATTTCCAGCCTATAAAAACAAACACAAGCTTAATTTCACAACTACGGCCATATTCCACAAGCCAAATACGCCCCAAGAGCTTATTTCTCTGGCCAAGAAACTCGGAGCTGAGACCGATTTCTCATCCACAATGGGGGAAAGAAAGTTCGATCTCTTGTTTGATACTTCGGGCTCGCCGGAAGGGTTTCTGCGCGCGATTGATTCAAGTCGTGGTATTCTTCATCTCAAATCGACGCATGGACAGCAAGTGTGCGGCTTAAAACGGATGACCGATTTTGTTGTCGACGAGCTTGCTCTAATCAGATTCAGCGAAGATAATCTTAGTTTCTCGTGGCCAAACGAGGTTACTCGTAGACATAATCATAATGTCTTGGTTTCTTCCAGCGTTGCAGGAGAAGTATGTCGCAGGATAGAGGAGACGGGACGTAACGTATTTATGATGACGCCTGATGAAGCTGTCATATTTGTTGACAATTGGATGAGTCAGCTTCGAGAGGGAAAAGTAGATGATGATCGACTGTTGTTGTCTCCCGTGCCTAGATTTGATTTAGCGGTCATAGGACAACTTGAAGAGTTGGATCGAGTCGTAAGATCGATGGTGAGAACGATGTTTGGGTTAATTACACTACTAGTCTCCGTTTTTAGTTTTCTCAAACCAATATTCCTCATATGTTTGTGATAATTTAGGAAACGTCGATCCTTCGTCCTCGCGGTGCAATTTTGTACGCGCCTACATCGAATATAGAGACCAATGCAATAACAAAAGCTCTCGTTGAGGATAACATTACGATTTGGTCTACTCGCTGCGGAAACTTGGAAAAGGCATTGGAAGTACTATCATCCGACACTGAGCTGGCTACTGTGCTCGAAAAACACATGATTACTCACAAAGTAAACCTTAGAGATCTTGCCAATGGTTTTGAAATGGCATCAAACACAGTTGACTCTGACAATCCTGTGATAAAGGTCGTAGTCGACGTAGAAATTTGACTCTTAATGTGATATAAGCTGTATTGACGAACAATGTGATATAGTGTGATGATAAATTAAACGAACGACAATAATCTGTGTTAACATTGAATGTAGCGATAGAAGGGTAACTCGAAGCAGTCAAGTAGTTTATTAACAAGAACTCACCGTCAAATATAGTTTGTTCACGAATATCTCACAAACATACCATTCATTCGGGACAAAAACAAGAGAATAGTTACAGTGTCTTCAAAGCTGTAATTACTTTAACCAGTATCGTAACAAAATACCGAGAAAAACTGTTCACTTTGAATCATGCT